CTGCTCAGTAAATAAGAGTTTTCTTCCTCTCCTCCACATTCTCATCTTCACCATTTAATTTTGGAGAGTGTGAAACCATCTGTGTAAGAAGTATTGAAACTGAAAGTTAACACTAATTAGCTATTATGTAACAATAGAGAACATTTAAAGGATATGACATTAACTAGCATTTAGGGTTCACTTGGAAAACTGGTGAAGAAAACTGACATTCTTCGCTTTAGCTTGCATAGGAATCGTTTGAGGTGCTTGTTAAATTTTTAGCTTCCGGGCTTTACACACAAGAGTTCTAAATTCAGAAGGTTGAGAGTAGCAGTCAAGAATTTGGAAAGCATCCCAAAGTATACTGCTGTGGGTGGTCCTTGAAATACAACACTTAAAACCTCTGTTTTTAAGGTCTCAAGTGACTAGTCCATAGATCAGTAAAGCAAAAATAGTCCTTAGAGTGATGAGTGTTTCTGTGCTGGAAACACTGTGAATCTCATGGTAAAGATAAAGAGCACAATCTCTTGGGATTCTGTGACCATAGAAGAAAAGAATATAGATTCCTGTAACCCAATGAGTAATCGCAGTTGCTCATGAATGTCATCAAAGACATCTGTAATGCCAACACATTTATATTCAAAAGAGAAAATCAGGCTGGGCGTAGTGGCTCACAGCTGTAATCTCAGCCCTTTGGGAGGCTGAAGTTGGAGTATCTCTTGAGCCCAAGAACTGAAGACCAGCCTAGACAACGTGGCAAAACCCCACCTCTACAAAATTTAAAAAATTAGCAGGGCATGGTGGTGCATATCTTCGGTTCCATCCAGCTACTAAAGAGGCTGAGGCAGGAAGATAGCTTGAGCCCTGGAGGTGGAGGCTGCCATGACAGGAGGTTGCCATGACTGATCACACCACTGCACTGCAGCCTGGGCAACAGGACAAAACCATGTCTCGCAAAGAAAAAAAAAAGAAATGGAAATGTATCTTTGTAACTATGTTATGTAGGATAAGATAACAAAAGTGAAACTCTGTCTCAAAAAAAAATTATGTCGGATAAGATAGCTACAAAGATACAAATAATAATATAAATAAATGGAAAAAAAAAAAAAAAAAAA